CTGGTCTCCCGCTGGTCTTCAATGCGGGCGCTGCGAGGATCCATCCGCGGCGTTCACAGCAATAGCCGTTCGTGAGCATTTTTTAAACAGTCAAGCAATCCTCGCGGCCATGCCTGGTCGTGCTGTCGCCGGAATATCACTTACAAATCAGAGTGGATTGCGCCGAAAAGGCGATGGTGGCAGAACTGGAAGAGCACAGCAGGTCGTGCGCGACAGCGGCTGGTATTGAGAGGATCGCGCACCTGCGCGATGCACGCCGCCTCCTCCGAAGAAAACCCCTCGGGAATCCCGCCAACAGCTTGGCGGCGAGAAAGAATCGTAATGTCGAGACCACGCAGGCGCGGGCCACTGGTTGGGGAGGCCAGCGACCTGGAGGCCACCGCGGCAGCGAACCCAGGCAGGGGCAATAGGGGGCAGGGGCATTGGGCAGACCTCGAGGTGCACCACAGCAATATCCGTTCGTGAGCAGGTCTTCCGTTCGGGGGAAAGGGTTCGTCTCCTCGTCGCCTAATCTTGGTCATGTTTCCTGAGCGATAAGGGCTCTCTCTCTCTCTCTCCTTCTCTCTCTCTCTCCCCACAGAGAGCAGTACAGGCCAGCACAGCTACGGGACGAAGGGTCAGGATTCAGACGTCTTGTAAAGTCCAGCGGATTCAGACCCAATGGAATTGCAGTCATCCGATACGAAATTTTATAGCCGAAGTTTCATTTTCGGCAGCATGTTGTCTCATCTTGTGTTTGGGCAGCCCAGGCCAGAGGGAGACTTCAGAGTGGGATTCACGTGGGATATTGTCTTCTCCTCCATCTTGGCGACGATACGTATGTCCAACATCTGAATATATCAAGACATTGGGCAGATGCAAAATGGCTTCAGCCTGGTCTCAACATGATCTCAATGTGGTCCCAATCGCGCCACCCTACCAACTGAGGACGACGATGAGACAGTCGGGCGCGCCCCGGCGCAACGTTGACAAAGAGGGCCTCCGGGCGCGCCCGGGCGCGTCATCATCCTGCTTCTCCTGCTCCTCCGGATCCTCGCACTCCTCTCCCCTCTCCATCTTTTCCCTCTCTGTTCCTCTTCTTCCTTTCCGCCTCCTCCCCCCTCCTCCTCCCTCAAAGCGAGGCGTCACGGCCGCCACCCTGGCAAGCAACCGCACCATCTTCGTCTCACTCCACCTCACCTGTCTCCGTCGCGGCGGCCCGCCGCGGCGTCGGTCGATAGCGGCGGCGCAGACGCTTCGAGGAAATCAACACGAGAAGGAGAAGGACGAGAAGAACGACGAGGGGGGGCAGGGAGGATGAGGATGACGATGTCCAAGAATTGAGTGCGTGTAGCACTTGTGTCTCTAAGGAGTAAGTGAGAGCGGGCTTGTGCCTCAAATATTCAGGTGTGTAGCGTTTGTGCCTCTAAAGTTTCATTGCGTGCAGCGCCTGCACTCCAAGGTCTAAATGCGTGTAGCGTTTGTGTCACTGAGGAATAAATGAGTGTAGCGTTTGTGCCTCTCAGGTGTATGTGTGTGCGTCGCCTGTTTCTCCAAAGGTTTTAGGTGCACGTAGCGCTTGTGTCTCGAAGGTTTGAAGTGCGGGTCACGCTTGTGCCTCTAAGGGCTGCGTGTAGCGCTGGCAGCGCCTGTCTCTAAGGTTTTCGTTTACGTGCGTGGTTTAGATGCTTGTAATCTTTGTGTCTCCAGGGCCCAAGTGCGCACTGCATGGGCGCAAACAGGTGCCGCGCGCGCGGCGCACGGGCCGCCGGGAAGTGGCCCAGTTCACAGGCCATGGCCGCCGGAAAACGGTCCGCTTTCGCAGCAGCCTTTTCGGTGCAATGCCTTCGCAAGTTCGTTGGGGGGGGATTTAACTCACAGGTCGGGCTCTCTCGGGAGGGGAAAAATGTATCAATGACACGACGCCGTTGAGCTCGTTTGCGTGCTACTCCTCCGTTTTTGGTTGCAGGCCTGGTGGTTCATAGCAGTAACACGCTGATCGATTCCCCCCGGCGGCGCGTGATTGAACTTGTTCTTGTCCCTCCATTCTCAGAGCTTTCCGGAGCGCTCTGGCGATGCGGCGCGATCCTCCGGCCCGATGTGCTCGGATCCCACCAGGGGGGGGCCTCTGCAAGAGCGGGGGGCGGGGCGCGGGCGGCGCAGGGAGGGGGGGAGCCAGGGGCTGGCGGGGCGCGGGGCCGCCGCGGGGCGGCTCGAGGCGCGGCCTCGGCAGGCGGCGCGGCGCACGGCCTGGCTCGAGGGGAACCTTCGGCACCGGTTGGGCGCGTGTTCTTTTTTCAGGTGTGCGGAGAGGGGGGCCATCGAGGAGCTTCCCAGGCCACCTTGCGAGCAGATATGCGCACGAAGCCGACAGGCGCACAGGGAATGGATGGACGTCCGAGCGGTGGCGAGAACGTCAAGGCATGAACATGCACACTCGGAACTCCGCGCTGATCTCTTGGATCGGCGTTGGGCCGCATTGGCGGCGCCTTTGGCGCTGCCACTGGCGCGTTCCGCGCGCCATAGAGGGGGGGCCAGCGCCGATCCAAGAGATCCGCGCGGACCTCCAAAAGTTTATGCTTCTCAGTGGCAGGCAGCGCAAAGCACGAGAAGACAACCACAGTGAACTGAAACGAGGCAGCGCAGGATAACTGACTCAAATGATGCCACAGCACATCAACGCGCGACGCAGAAATGCAACGCACATAATCAATGCTGTACCACATGGTATACTGGTCCGTGTGCGTGTGGGTTCAGATTTGGTTCAGCCTATTCGGAGCACAGCTGTCCTGTTTTATAATACGAAGCTTGTCTGGCTGGTCTGCGGCAATAGGAATCCTGATACTGGGGCGCCAGTCGCACTGTACCTACTTTACGAAAGTAGTTTACCCAGATTTTTTTGTTGTGTGTGCGCGTGTGTTTTTGATGACCTCGAGAGGAGCGGGATCAGGAGCAGGAACACGATCAAGAGTAGATAGATCAGAAGAAGGAGGGGTTGGAGGACGAGGGAATAGCAGCGCCTTGGCCGTCGTCGCCGTTTTCGTAGTGCTAGTCGCCGTCGTCGTCGGGTTCTTGTGTCCGCCGTCGTGCGCGCTGATCTCTCATCGCTTGCTTTTCGTCTTGATTGTCGTCGTCGCCGTCGTTTTTGTCGTCGATTGTCGCCTGCCGGCGTAGTCATCAGTCGTCGTCGTTGTCATCGTCGTCGTCGTCAGTCGTCGTCGTCGTCGTCGTCGTCGTCGTCGTCGTCGTCGTGGTCGTCGTCGTGGTCATCGACGCTCCGCTTGGTTTCTGACCATAGCTCGGTTCGCACGCGGCAGTCGAGGACCACTCTAGGCTGCTCGGAATGCTTTCGATTGAGCGCGGCCGATGGAACATTCCCCAGGGCCCTAAAGCCTGCAGGAATACCCGAAAATACGACGATGTCGACCAAAATCCGTTCACCCCTGTCCCCTGACCCCTCTCAGAGACGCCCCAAAGCGTCCGAGGACGACGACGCCCGACGACGGCGGACGACGGATGACGACGGCGGTGGCACGACGCCGCCGTCGCGGTCGGCGTCGCGGCCCCAGCGGTCCCGACCCTTTCCCCTGGGGGCAGTTTTTTGGTCGTGGATGGCTTTTGGATGGCCTCGGGGTCTGGACGGGCCCCAGGGCCCGAAATCGAGGAGAAACACTTGGACTGAAAGAGACTAGATCGTCGGAAACGTGGGTCGCCATCGTCGTGGTCGCCGCCGTCCGTCGTTCGCCGTCTTCGTCGTGCCTCGTGCGTCGTTCGTCGCCGCAGCCTCTTCCCACTCTCCCACCCAGGCCTTCCCGGCCACAGCGTTGGAGTGGCCAGGGAAGCAACGATCTGGCGGGCGTTGCCTCAAGCCCACCTCATGGCGAGAGTGCCTCCGGGTGACTTTCGAGGGTAAGGGCAGATGCCTCAAGTCCTCCTGCTTTCAGCGAACGCCGGCCTGACGAACCGTCGCCACCGCTATCCTTCCGACGCCGCCCCCGCAGCGGCGGCACGGCGCCGTCCTCGGCGCCGCCGCCGCCACCCCCGCCGAAGCCGACGCACGCGCCAGCGCCCGAGGGAGCCGCGGGCGGCTGGCGGCCGCCGCCGCCGCCGCCGCCGCCGCCGCCGTCGTCGTCGTCGTCGTCGTCGTCGTCGTCGTCGTCGTCGTCGTCGTCGTCGTCGTCGTCGTCGTCGTCGTGGTCGTCGTGGTAGTCGTCGTCGTGGTCGTTGTTTTTGCTGTTGTTGCTGTTGTTGTTGTCGTTGTCGTTGTCGTTGTCGTCGTTGTCGTTGATGTTGAACTCTCATTTATGAAGAATAATGATTGTTGATTCCCCCTCACCGGTGCATACAGTTTTTTCAATCAAAGTGTGCCCCTCGACGCTCGCACCCTCAATCAAAGTGTGCCCCTTGATGCTCAAACTGCGCCCCTGGCCCCCCGGATTACAACAACAACGGCTCCCGCCTGAGACTTCCTCCAAATTTACTCAGGACCCCCGCTCCCGCCTGAGAATTTCTTACAGTTTACTCAGGATCGGTACTCCCGCCTGTGACTTCCTCGCAATTTAGTCAGGACCTCCGCTCCCATCTGAGACTTCCTCACAATTTACTCAGGAACGGCACTCCCGCTTAAGACTTCCTCGCAATGGAGTCAAGACTTCCTCGCAATTTGAAAAAAAAAATGACCCCCGCTCTCGCCAGAGAACCCCTTACATTTTATTCTGGAATTGCGCTCTCGCCTGTGATTTCCATGCGATTTATTTAGAAATCGCGCTTTCGACGCTCAGGAAACACGCTGCGCCAAGGACGCCGTCACAATTTACTTAGGAATCGCGCTCTCGCCATACTCAGGCATCCCGCTTGAATGTCCCACCAGCCCGACCCGCTCGTCAGGGGATCACCTGCCCGTCGTGGGCTCCCGCCCGAGACTTCCTTCAAGAACGGCGCTTTCGCCTAGGACTTCTTCGAACGTTCACGCTCTTACTTTCCTGCTCCTACTTCCTCTCCCTCCTCCCTTTTCCCTCCTCTCCTCCCTTCTCTCTCCCTCCTCTCTTCCCTCATCCGTATGCCTCTCTGCCCTATCCCCTCTCCCTCCTGCCTCCTCCCTCCCTCTTTCTTTCTCTTTTTCCCCTCTCTCTCTCCACCTCTCTTATCTGTTTTTCTCTCTCTCTCTCTCTGCCTCTAATCAACCGCCCCCCTCTTCGCTCCTTCTCTCCTGGCGTTTTCCCTCTTCCTTCGTCCCTCCCCCTCCCTTCCTCCCGCTCTTCCTCGTTCTCCCCCTTCTTTTTTTGCAGGGCCCACACCAATGCCAATGGCGGGCACATGTACGCCCACGAAGGATTGTCCATCCGTTCAGGTTTGCCCACCTGTCTAAGCCCGCCGCCCCCCGCAAAGAGAAATTATCCCTCCAAAGGGGGTGTGATCGAAGACAAGAAGGGCGGGTATCGAGGGTGTGGGGAATTCGTTTTGAATGACACACGGGCAAGTAAGAGCGAACAGTTTTATAATGATTGTTGTTGTTGTTGTCGTTGTTGTTGTTGTTGTTGTTGTTGGTGTTGGTGTTGGTGTTGTTGTTGTTGTTGTTGGTGGTGGTGGTGGTGGTGTTGTTGTTGCTGTTGCTGCTGCTGCTGCTGTTGTTGTTGTTGCTGTTGCTGTTGCTGTTGCTGTTGCTGCTGTTGTTGTTGTTGGTGTTGTTGGTGTTGTTGTTGTTGATGAATCTCCATTGCTAGACCTGTTTTCATTGTTGGACCCCCTAGATGCGCCCTGGCACTCTCGCCCTGGCGCTGGCTGCATTCCTTTGAAAATCAGGCTCACGCTCAGGCGTTTCAGGGGTGCGCCGAAACCGGCCCCCCGACAACAAGAAGGCTCCCGCTCGATACTTCCTCCTTATCTACGCGTGACCAGGGCTCTTGCTCGCCGCCGAAAACCGGCTTTCGTATAAGACCGGCGCTCCCGCTCGATATTTGCCCTTTTCTGTTCAGGACCGGCGCTCCCGCCTCGGCGCCGCAAGCAGCCACCTGCAAACAACGCAGCGACGCTCCCATGCGACACCAACGCCAGGGGGGCCACCTCCAGCGAGGAGGGCCGCAATGCCTCCCCGAGCTGGAGGCTGGGGATGTCTCGAGCGAGAAGGGGGGGGACCACACAACCAGGGAGACCCCCCTTGCTCCTCGCGTCTCCTCGTCCTGGTGCTGTTGGTGTCGCCTTGTTCCTATGTCGGAGGTCCACACGGATTTCTTGGACGTGCGCTGGGCCTCCTGGCACGCCAGCACCGACCCAAGAAATCCGCGCGGACCTACGAAGGTTTGTGCCTATGAAGCTGCTTCCTTCCTTCTCTATTCGAAGCAGGCATGTGGGCCTTCTAAGAAGGCTGGTGGCTTCTTAGAACCTTCGCCGCTCCGAAGTGGCCTCCCTGGACGCATCCGGGCGCCTCGAAGTAGGCCCTCGCCTCCTGTGAGCCCCCCCCGCCATCTCAGGGGGCAGGCCCCCTCGCGCCACCCCTTATATTCCCCTTCACCGACAGGCCTCCACAACGTTTTGCAAGACACACCGCGCTGGCTTTTCAGCAAGCCGAGGCCCCTGGGAGCCCCTGGCCAGCTCAGGGGCCGTCGAAGAGCGATCCGGGATGAATCATTGATTGGTCCGCAGGATTGTATTGAGAGGTCTGGGGGCCGCGGATTGAACGTCGACAAACACGGCATCGGATGCTTGGGGTTTGGGGGCGTTTCTTCCATCCCCCCATCTCACTTCATTTCCCCCTCTCGACGCTCGTCCGTCTTCTCTTCGTCACCCGTGATGAATGGTCAGGGCATTCAACCTGCGGCCCGCTTGAACCCGCTGTGGAGGCGGTCCCGAACAGAAGACCGACAACGCATTGATTGCAGCTTGGTCGCGCATCCAGCTGATGACAAGCGGCGCGACCGACAGCCATCGGAATTGGCATCCCATCTATTCACTCCGCGCTGTGATTCCATGCCCTTCTCTCCCCCCCCCCTCTTCTCTCTCTTCCCCTCAGGGCTGCTGCTGGCTCCTTCGCTTCTTCTTGCCTTGGGTGTCCTCGTTGAGCGAAGGTACAAAGACGGTAATCATCGCCCTCCTTCTCTTTACCTCATCCTGCCCCCTACATTTTTACCCTCGCCCTCCCCTCTCCTCTCTGGACGTCGGCGCCGCCGCCATCGCTAGCGTCACCGTCAGCGTCATCGCAGTCGCCGCCGTCGCCGTCAGCGTCAGCGTCATCGCAGCCGCCGCCGTCGTCTTCAGCGTCAGAGTCGCCGCCGCCGTCCTCGTCGTTTGCGCCGTCGGCGCCGTCAGCGCCGCGCGCGCGCCAGGAGGCGGCGGTGAGGCCTCCAAGTCGCGGTCGCGCTCGGGGTCGGTGCGAGCCCCGGGGCCGTCTGGATCTGGACGGCGGCGGCGGCGACGGGCGTGGCGGCGATGCCGGCGTCGACGAGGCTGACGCTGCCGCCGACGCTGTCGCTGACGACGGCGGCGGCGATGGCCGCGGCGGCCGCGATGGCGGCGCCGACGTCTTCGCTTTGGACGTTTTCGAGCGCTCATGGGTGTTCTCGTAGCCGCGGCTGCACGCAGCTCGGAGAACTGGCCAGGATGGCCCTCAAGGAAGCTGGGCCTGGGTGGGGGCATGTGTTCAATGTTTCTCGAGACGTTGCCCAGGGATTTTGGCGACGAGAGCAGGGCGGATGAGGAGGATGAGAAGGAGGAGGAGGAGGAGGAGCAGGAGGAGGAGGAGCAGGAGCAGGAGGAGGTGGAGGAGGAGGAGGAGGAGGAGGGTGAGGAGGAGGAGGAGGAGGCGGAGGAGGAGGAGAAGGCGGATGAGGATGGGGAGGAGGAGGAGGAGCAGGAGGAGGAGGGATGAGGGAGAAGGCAGGAGGAGGGAAGAGGGAGGGGGGAGGAGGGAGGGAGGGAGTGAGGGAGAGAGGGAGGGAGGGAGGGAGGGAGGGATCAAGAGAAGGAGAAGGAGGATAGGGAGGATAAGGAGGAGGAGGAGGAGGAGGAGGTGGAGGAGGAGGATAAGGAGGAGGAGGAGAAGTAGGAGGAGGAGAGAGGAGAATTGGGGGCGACGACGACGACGTTCTTTTTCTTCGGAGGAGGAGGAGAAGGAGGGGGAAGAGGCAGGGTCGAAGGAAGGGGGAGAGGGAGGGGGGAAAGGATGGGCTGGCAGGAGGAGGTGGAGGAGGAGGCGGGAAGGAGGAAGAGCAGAAGGGTGAGGGGCGGAGGCCGACGGAGGGGGAGGGTTATCTGAACGCGCGCGAGAAACCCACGGCGGGAGGGCACAACACGCAGCTCCTTCGCAGTGCCAGCGGCATGGAGCGAGCGGCCTCGCACAGTCCAGCTCTCCCGCCAGCTGTCTCGTCAGAAGCCACGGCGCTTGCTGCTCTCTCAGCCGCTGCGCGCATGCCCCCTCTTCTCCTCCATACATGCCTGCCTTCCCTCCGCCCTGCTCCCACCCCATTCGGCTCTTCCCCCCTCCCGTCCATTGAGCACTGTGCTGCCTCCCTTCCTCGCTCCCCTTGCCCGGCTCAGGTGCACCTGAATGTCCGGATGCCCCATAACACCGCGTACGACGGCGGGACGGTTGAGGCGCGACGGGGGGGTGGGGGGCGGGATCGAGGCTCGGGGGGCGAGGTTCGAGGAGGATCGAGGTTCGGGGAGGTTCGAGGATGGAGGATGGAGATCCGAAGAGGATGGAGACCCGCGGATCGAGTTTCGAGAAGGATCGATGTTGATAGGGTCGAGGCTGGAGGTCCGAGGAGGATCGAGGGGGAGGAGGCTCGAATTTCGAGAATAGTCGAGGGTCGAGGTGGACCAGGATCGAGGCTCGAGGTTGGGGGTTCGAGTTTTGTTTTCCGCACATCCTATCTGGGGTACTATGTGAACCTGGCTAGTGTTTGACACAAGTGTACACATGCAACAGTTACATAGGTGAGTTATTGCACAGTTCATGTGGACGCCATGCGGTGCAAGCTATTTGATGTAAGCTATGCCGTGTAAGCAACGTGGTGTGAGCTATGGACGTGTAAGCTCAGCGCACATGGCGCCCACGAGTACCCACGAGGCGGCACGGGTGGCATCGTGGCGCAACCCCGGTGGACTCACCCAGAGCGCGGCGCGCCCACAAGCGCCCACGAGGCGGCACGGGCGGCAAAGCGGCGCAACCTCGGCGGACGTCCAGGAGCGCCCACGAGGCGGCACTGGGCGGCAACGTGGGAACTCCTCGCGGACCCGTCCAGTTCATTGAGACAGAAGTATGCGGAATGAAAGATGCGCAAGCGCCACGCGGATGCATAGCGGCTTGTATTCAGAGCAGGGCTGTCGCCGAGCACTTCTTTGAAATTCGTAACCCTAGGGCCACCACGAGAGTGCAGAGTTATTCGCGCCTCGCGGCCTGGGTAATGTCAGATCGAGGCGCGAAGTTTTTCGCGCTTCGCGGTCTGAGCTTACGGCGGCTTGCAGAGCGAAGGTAGACGCGATTCGCAACCATGCGGCTGGGCCAGCGAGGGATAGCGGTCCGGGCGACGTCAAAGCCAGGCGCGGAGTTCGAGCGAAGGTAAACGCGTTTCGCATCCCTAAGGCTTGGCCGACGAGGGATTGCGTCGCGGGCTGCGCCAAAAATGACGTCGACGTCCTCCGCGGAGCAAAAGGTTTGAGCGGGCAGCGGGGCCTCAACAGGTGATTTGTGAGGGCCGCATTCGGGATAGATACGTCTGGGCTGTTGGTCCGAGACATCTGCAGAAAGGGACCCCCTATCAATAGTATCTCAGGCCCTCCTAACCCAGGTCCCCTCCCAAAGGGTTATGGGTACTTGTATTGCTTATCACTATATGGACCACTGAGGAGGGGACGTGGGACGGCACCGTGTGTTGTAGCACCGTGGATACATCTTAGGCTCAGCCGGCCGCATCCTCCTCCTCCCCCCGTCGCGCCTCCACCGCGCACGACGTCGTACACGGCACAGCGCTGCGGGGCTTCGATGTCAAACTTTCAAGGTTGTGGCAGCTTTCGTTGAGTCTCCTTGTTTGCTTCATCCGCTGCGCCCCGTCGAGGGCATTCCGGGAACCTGGCAGCGCTCCCGAGCGGTCGCCCGCGGCCCGAGCCGTGGTCTTTAAGACCTCAGCAGGGGGCGACGACGGCGACGACCACGTTGAGTGCGATGATGAGTCGGCGGCGAGCCCGGGGGGAAGTTCGGCGTTTTCCGACCTCTTCGTTGGCTCCCAGAGGCTTCCCAGCCTCGGGAAGCTGTCCAGGAGCTGCGCCTCGCCGAGAGCGTTTCGAGGTTGCCTGGATCGTCCCGAACCGCCGCAGGAGGCCCGAGTTATGACCTCAAAACCAATCGGCGGCGCGCCGAGGAGGGAAGTGAGAGGGGGCAGGCCTTATGATCAGGCTGCGGGACTTCTCCGAAGCCCGCTGGCCTCTGGAGATGCCGTCCCTGTCTTCAGAAGATGCTTAGAAAGCTTTCGGATGGCGCGAGGGCTTCTGAGAAGCCCCGCCGCCTTCTGAGAAGGCCGGCCCCTCCGGGCTCGCCGCCGAAGGATGACGACGACCCTGATGAGGCAGTCCTGAGAGCGGGAAGCCAACGCTTCCCCGCCTTTCTGTACGCGCCGGAATCCTGTCCATCATGCCGTCCAGGACAGGTCCGAAGGGCGACTTCGAGGGAGGAGGGGGGGGGAGAGGGGTGGAAGACTCTTCCCCTCACCTACTCCTCCCTGTCGTCCCCCTCTCACATCCCAGTGAGTTCTCACTTCCCCCTCCTCCGACCTTTCCCCGGGGATGGGAAGGGGAATGGCAGGGGGGGGAAAAGGAGGGAGGGACGGGTGAGGGAAAGGGAGGGGAAGGGCAGTGGAACGGGAGGGGAGTCCCTCTCACCTCCCCATGGGTTCCCACTTCTCACTTCCCCTTCCTCTGGCCTTCCGTGGGGATGGGAAGAGGCATGGCAGGGGAGAAAAAAGGAGGGAGAGGAGGGGAGAAGGGAGGGGAAGGTCAGGAACGAGATGGAAGTGGGCAGTGGAAGTGCGAAGTTGAAGGGGAACGGAAGGAGGGTCCAACTCTGTCGAGGGGGGTGCAGTTGGGGAACACTTCTCCTCCTCCTGCTTCTTCGCCCCCCCACTGATGATAGGAAGCTGTTTCACTGCATCTGAGGAAAGGGTTGGAGTGGAGGGGGGGAGTGGGAGAGAGGTGAGGAGAGGGGGAGTTCGGATGTGGTGGGGTCAGGTAGGATGAGGTCAGGGGGGAAGAGGAACGCCGGTGGGGTAGGGAAGAAAGAGGAATGGGAGGTGAGAGGAGAGGGGCGTCATTATTGGAGGAGGGGGTGGATGATGAGGAGATCACGTGATGGTCGTGGATGAGGAGGGGGAATGTGAAGAGGGGACATGGGTTCAGTGGACATCTCACTCCTCTTTCTCCCCCCTCCTGCTGCCTCTCATCCTCCAGAACCCAGAGCGCCCTGCAACCTCCTAGCTTTCTCCCCCTCTGCCTCCCTTACCCTCTGCCTCCCTCTTCTTCCTCCCTCCTCCCTTGCGTCCTCCTCCGCCTCCTCATGGGCGGCGGCGAAGGGAGCGCAGGGTGGAGGGGGGGGGTCGACGCCCGGTGAGGCCGAGGTCATAAACAGACCCGCCCTGAACAGCGGCGAGATGACCGTGTGGCAGGCCACATTTGCGTCTCGTCTCTCCTTCCATGGCCGTTGGCCATTCGTTTCGGTGCGTTCCGGGCCTTTTCTTCCTCCTCCCTTCTTGCACCCCTCCCTCCTTCCCTTCCTCCCATGTTCCCCCCCTCCTTCTATCTCTTTCTCCCCCTCCTCCTCTTCCTTCTATTCCTCCTCCTCCTCCTCCTCCTCCTCCTCCTCCTCCTCCTCCTCCTCCTCTTGTATCAGCCATCCTCGGCCTCAAGGATGAGCGTTTGAAGCAAGCGACCCTTCCATCTCTCGTCTGTGGCCTTGTGTTTGTTCCCCGGCCTCTCGGTACTCGGGTACGGATCCCTGACTCGGCGCATTCTAGGCGCTTTTTCTCCCTATGCCCCGCCTTTGCAACTTATTACTGATTTTGACGTTTGCCAGGCATTTCGGGACGGACGAAAGAATGGGATTGCGAAAGGTCGCAGGCTACTTTTCTCTCCATTCCAGAGTGCCGAGTTCCGTCCGAAAAGTTTGGCCGCTCAGAAGGGGGGAAGGAATTCTGGGATACATCCCCCAGGGGGCTGTTCGGACCCACCCCAGGGTTGGGCGGTTGGGCCCAACAGTTTCGGTCCAGTCGAAAAGCCCCCAAAGTCGGGCATTGGGGTCGCCCAGCCTCCAGAGGATTGTTTCTGGGTCTCACGGGGAAGATGGCGGGGCAGAAGTCCACCCTCAGAGCCAGCGATTTTATACACCACCGCCCTCCCTTGAAGGCACATGGAGAATTCGTCGCCAGGCGTTTGTGTACATATTTTCGTGGCATATGCAGGGCGGCACGATCCGAGGGTTCGCGGGCCGTCCCGCGGCCTCGAGTTCGCAGGCCTCCCGCGGCGGCCTCCCGCCTGCTCCCCCTGTGCAGCGGATGCGGCGCGCCGTTTGTTTGACCGCTTGTTGGGCCCAACTCGCCGCAGACCCCCAAAAAATTTGCGGCGACCAGCTGGAGACTCCATATTCCTGGGGCCCAGGGAGGATGGCCCGCCCCGGCCCCCTCCCTCCCCGCCCTTCGCTCCCCCCCTCCCCCCTCCCGCTGCGCCTTAGGAGTATGGGAATCCAAGAGGGCGCTTCAGAAGCGCGGCCTTGAGTTCGCAGGCGCGACCGCTGCGCGCAGCCACCTGCGGCCCCGCCGCCGCGCACTTCCCCGATGCACGGCCGCCCCCGCGCGCCAGGGGTACCCAGAAGACCAGCTGCTCGCAGCTGCTCTCGGCAGCCGCCAAGGGGGTGTGGTTATGCCGGGATGTGGCTTGCGATCGGCACCGTTGGCTTTGCATCGGTCGGAGCGTGCTGACAACCTAACCTCGTGCTCGATCGGAAGGCCGAAAAGAAGCAAATGTCAACCTTAGAAAAATACGGTCAAGGTCCGATATATAGCGTGTCTTTGGGGAGACGCCCATACACGCTAAGTGTTCCGCACTTAGCGTGTATCCTTAGTGGTGGTACTTAGCGTGTATGTCCTTTCGGGGCTGGGGGAGGGATGATGATGGCAGGGAGAGGGATCATGCGGCCGCCGCGTTGGCAGAATGCTCGACGTTTGTACGAAAGTTCGTTGGTAGATTAGGTGTGCATGTTTAGTCTCATCGCCGGCTAATCTCGGTAGACTTTGAGCCGTAGTCCAAGTCCAAGTCCAAGAGAGGGATCATGCTGATGATGAGGAGGCTGATGAGGATGATTATGAGGAGGAGGACAATGATTGTTCTCCTGAGGAGGGATGAGAGACGTATGATGATAATGAGGAGAGAAGAGAAGAGATTTCTAGGAGAGAAGAGATTTCTAGGAGATCTCTTGGGAGCCTTTCGAGGCTCCATGAAGTTTTCTTGGAGGGAGAGGGTTCTGGGGGGGTTCTGGGAGGGTTCTGGGATCTGGGGAGGGTTCTGGAATCTGGGAGCCCTCGTGCGGGCAACTGATACCTACTAGGACCATCGTGGAGCCATCTTGAGGCCCTCTTGGAGCCATCTTAGGGCCGTCTTGGGGCCCTCCTGGGCCCTCTCGGGGCCCTGCTGGAGCTTTCTGAGGGCCCTAGAGAAGCGTCCAGGAGGGACTCCGTGAGACCCTTGTCCAACTCCGTTTGACGGAGTTGGAACTGATACTTGCTAGGACCATCTTGGAGCCATCTTGGGGCCCTCTTGGAGCCATCTTAGGGCCGTCTTGGGGCCCTCCTGGGCCCTCTCGGGGCCCTGCTGGAGCTTTCTGAGGGCCCTAGAGAAGCGCCCAGGAGGGACTCCGTGAGACCCTTGTCCAGCTCCGTCTGACGGAGTTGGAACTGATACTTGCTAGGACCATCTTGGAGCCATCTTGGGGCCCTCTTGGAGCCATCTTAGGGCCGTCTTGGGGCCCTCCTGGGCCCTCTCGGGGCCCTGCTGGAGCTTTCTGAGGGCCCTAGAGAAGCGTCCAGGAGGGACTCCGTGAGACCCTTGTCCAACTCCGTCTGACGGAGTTGGAACTGATACTTGCTAGGACCATCTTGGAGCCATCTTGGGGCCCTCTTGGAGCCATCTTAGGGCCGTCTTGGGGCCCTCCTGGGCCCTCTCGGGGCCCTGCTGGAGCTTTCTGAGGGCCCTAGAGAAGCGTCCAGGAGGGACTCCGTGAGACCCTTGTCCAACTCCGTCTGACGGAGTTGGAACTGATACTTGCTAGGACCATCTTGGAGCCATCTTGGGGCCCTCTTGGAGCCATCTTAGGGCCGTCTTGGGGCCCTCCTGGGCCCTCTCGGGGCCCTGCTGGAGCTTTCTGAGGGCCCTAGAGAAGCGTCCAGGAGGGACTCCGTGAGACCCTTGTCCAACTCCGTCTGACGGAGTTGGCACTGATACTTGCTAGGGCCATCTTGGAGCCATCTTGGGGCCCTCTTGGAGCCATCTTAGGGCCGTCTTGGGGCCCTCCTGGGCCATCGGGGCCCTGCTGGAGCTTTCTGAGGGCCCTAGAGAAGCGTCCAGGAGGGACTCCGTGAGACCCTTGTCCAACTCCGTCTGGCGGAGTTGGAACTGATACTTGCTAGGACCATCTTGGAGCCATCTTGGGGCCCTCTTGGAGCCATCTTAGGGCCGTCTTGGGGCCCTCCTGGGCCATCGGGGCCCTGCTGGAGCTTTCTGAGGGCCCTAGAGAAGCGACCAGGAGGGACTCCGTGAGACCCTTGTCCAACTCCGTCTGACGGAGTTGGAACTGATACTTGCTAGGACCATCTTGGAGCCATCTTGGGGCCCTCTTGGAGCCATATTAGGGCCGTCTTGGGGCCCTCCTGGGCCATCGGGGCCCTGCTGGAGCTTTCTGGGGGCCCTAGAGAAGCGTCCAGGAGGGACTCCGTGAGACCCTTGTCCAACTCCGTCTGACGGAGTTGGAACTGATACTTGCTAGGACCATCTTGGAGCCATCTTGGGGCCCTCTTGGAGCCATCTTAGGGCCGTCTTGGGGCCCTCCTGGGCCCTCTCGGGGCCCTGCTGGAGCTTTCTGAGGGCCCTAGAGAAGCGTCCAGGAGGGACTCCGTGAGACCCTTGTCCAACTCCGTCTGACGGAGTTGGAACTGATACTTGACGCGAAAAGTCCAAAAGGGCTACGTAGGGGATTTGGGCGTCTTGGGCGCGTCCAAGGGAGGCCCCAAGCTCACATGGAATCGTCTTGGAGCGGTCTGGGGCATCTTGGAAGCCATCTTGAGCCATCTTGGATTAATAACTTCGGGTCATCTTGGAGGCCATCTTGGGCTCTCCAGGGCTCTCCAGGACCCTCTTGGAGCCGTTTTGGGCCATCTCCAATCGGTCGCAAATCTCCCCGTCCAGGGCCAAGGAGGATGGGGGTACGTACGTAGGGGGAGGGGTGCGTGCGTAAACCCCTCACCGAAAGGGAAGAAGAGGGTTGGAAGAGAAAGCCCCCTACGTAGATCACCTCGGGCTGGAGCGCTGCCCCCGGTTTTCACACTTCTCTCTCCCCCTCCTCCTCTTCCTCGGAGTCTCGGAGTCTCTTGGGATACGTACGTATCTCTTGGGCGTTTCTTGGAGGCCTTTTGGGACGTGTTGGGAGTCTCTTGGTGGTCCCGGGGGGCTCTTGGGGCATCTTGGGTGCCTCGGGGGGTCTCTTGGGGCCGCTTGGGGTCCTCTTGGGGGTCTCTTGGAGGCCTCTCGGGGTTTCTTGGGCGCCTGTTGGGGCTTTCTTGGGGGCCTTGGAGGCCCTCTTGGGACCATCTTGGAGGATATCTATCAAAGAATGGGGGGGTCCGCAAGTACCCTCGCCCCTCTGGAGCTCTCAAAATCGCCTCTTGGGGTCCTGTTGGGGCGCTCTTGGGGCGCTCTTGGACGCTCTCGGGTCCATCTTGGGGCCATCTTGGACCCCTCTTGGGGCTCTCTTGGGCCCCCTGGGGCCATCTTAAGTACGCACGGCTTCGGAAGGTCATCGGACGCGAAAAGTCGAAAGGGCTACGTAGAATCATTGATTTACCTTACCAGGTGTTTGAGGGATTTGGGCGTCTTGGGCGCGTCCAAGGGAGGCCCCAAGCCCACCTGGACTCGTCTTGGAGCGGTCTGGAGCATCTTGGAAGCCATCTTGAGCCATCTTGGATTAATAACTTCGGGTCGTCTTGGAGGCCATCTTGGGCTCTCCAGGGCTCTCCAGGACCCTCTTGGAGCCGTTTTGGGCCATCTCCAATCGGTCGCAAATCTCCGCGTCCAGGTCCAGGGGGATGGGGGTACGTACGTAGGGGGAGGGGTGCGTGCGTAAACCCCTCACCGAAAGGGAAGAAGAGGGTTGGAAGAGAAAGCCCCCTACGTAGATCACCTCGGGCTGGAGCGCTTAGCGTGTATATGAGCGCTTAGCGTCTTGGAGCGCTTAGCGTCTCGGAGCGCTTAGCGTGTATGTCGTTTGGCTCTTCCACCCGACCCTACTTAGCGTGTACGCCCCTGCGCTGCTTAGCGTGTAAACGCCTTCGGTTTCGCAAGGCCCGAAACAACAGACACGCTATATATCGGACCTTGACCGTAAGTGTTTTTACCTTTTCGGGCCTTCTTGGAGGCCCTCTTGGAGGCCTATTGGGGGCTATTGGGGCTACTGGGGCCAGCTTCGAGCCAACTTCGGCCATCTTGGTGGGCTCCTGGCCCGTCTGACGCCGTTGGAAGCCGTTTGGGGGGCCCTTCTGGGCCGACTTGGGGCCCTCTTGGGGTGCTCCAGGGCCGTCTTAGAGGCCATTTTGGGCGTCTTGAAGTCTTGGAAGCCTTTGGGGTCGTCTTTGTGCCCTCTTGGGGCCGTCTTGGGGGCTTCTACCTCTTGGGCGCTCTGGGGGCGGTCGTGGGGGCCTCTTGGGCCGTCTTGGGTCGACGGAAAGCCGAAAAGGAGCAAATACGAAAAACCTTTGGACACCTAAGGAACATCACTGTTTTTAGCCTCTTCGGGCCCTCCTGGAGGACCTCTCGGAGGCCTCTGGGCCGTCTTGTAGGCCTCTTGGGCACCTCTTGGACCGTCTTGGGCCGTCTTTGAGGTTTCTCGGGCGAACTTGGAGGCATCTCCTTCTCTCTTGGGCGGACTTGGATGCCATCTTGGACCATCTTGGGGGCCATCTTGGGCCAACGTGGCCATCTTGGAGGCCATCTTCAGCCGTCTTGGAGGAACACTTGAGGAATTTGGGCTCCGTGGCAATCCTCCCGGGACCCCGGCGGGACGCGCCGGAGGCCCTTGGGGAGTTCTTTTGGAAAAAGAACCAAAACCAAAACAGAGAGGGTTCAGCACGCCAGGCACCCCTGTGATGAATCAACAGGGGGCGGCGGGTCCAATGGCCTCCGGACCATCCCGCCACCGTGCCTGGGTTGTGGGTCTGAGGCCTCATGGATGGTCGTTCGGATCTCGTCGAGGCCTCTCGGGGGCCTCAGGCATTTTGAAGCCTCTGGGGGGCTGTTTTGGGGCCTCTTGGACTCTGGTTTTGGGCCTCTTGAGGGCCAAATGGGTGCCTCTGTGGGCGTCCTGGGCGCCTCTTGGTGCGGACTGCTTGGATTTTCGATTCGTGTTCCCCTCTTGGGCCGTCTTGGGCGCCTCTTGGGCCGTCTTGGGGCCCTCGTGGGCCGATTTGGGGCCCTGCGTCGGAACCTAGAAAAGTTGAGAACCCCAGCAACATGTTGAACAACCTATGTAAAATAACCGATTTGGGCTCTCGGGGCCCTCTTGGAACAGCTCTTGGGTCTCTTTTAGATAGTCTCGCAGGCTTCTTGGGCCGACTAGGGGCCATCGTGGGGGACCGATCGTTCGGCGACTCGGGGCCCTCCTGGGCCGTCTTGTGGACCTCTCTGGGCCGATGCATCGCCGCGGACGTCGACGTCGCCGATGCATCGGCGCGGACGTATTCTCCCCCACGCCACGCCGACGTGGCCGACGCATCGCCGATGTCGCAAGTGCGCAGGCGACGTCGACGATTTTCTTGTCAACATCGATCTTTTTTTTTTCTTTCTTTTTTTTTTTTTTTTTTTTTTTTTTTTTTTTTTTCTATTTTTTTTTGTTTTCGTTTTTTTTTTTGTTTCTTTTTTTTTTTTTTTTTTTTAGTTTTTTTTTTTTTTTTTTTTTGTTTTTTTTTTTCTCTCCTATTTAACAGTTTTTTTTTTTTTTTGTGCTTTTTTTTTTTTTTGTTTTTTGTTTTTACTTTTTTATTTTATTTGTAAATTATTTTTTTTTTGTTTTTTATTTTCGTTCCCTGTTTTTTTTTTTTCTTTTTTTTTTTCTATACGAAGCTTTTTTTTTTTTCTTTTTTTTTTCTTATTTTTATTTTTTTCTCTGTTTTTTTTTTTTTTTTTGTTTTTTTTTTTTTATTTCTTTTTTTTGTTTTTTTGCTTTTATTTTTTTTTTATAATTCTTTTTTTATGAGATCCGGTGGAATTATATAGCGTATATATACGATCCCTGTGCGACCCTGCAGGACTTCAATCACCATCCCACACGACTCTTATGAGATCCGACAGGGAGCCGTACGATTCTCGCGAGATCCCACTTAGCTCGTCTACAGACCTACAGGACTCCTATACGACTCCAGTGACACCTTTCAGGAAGCCCGTAGGAATAGCAGGGGAAGCCATCAGCAGAGGATGCCTCCAGAATTTGGACGACGCGATGCAGATTTGAGGGGGGGGGTAGTGGACAAGTTTTCCATGCACTCAGCTAGGGTCCCTGCAGACAAGCCTACCTGGTGAAGAAGAAGATGCCGAGTGACAAGATGGGGGAGGTGTTGCCACCGGCGCACGGTTTGGTTGCAGCCGCAGTGGGGGTGGCGTCTGGATATCGCTCTGCAAGGGTGTGGATCTTTTTGTGTTTTATCGTAGTGGTCTGGTCTGCAGACAACACGCAGGATGTGTTTGCAGGTGTTGTCGGTACTGCGGACGTGTTGTGGCGACGCGTGGTGGTGTGGTGGGTGTTTGCTCAGGATTTGCTGGTGGCACTGGTGCTTGAGGTGGTCCAGGGTCGGGTCGGTGCGGCATCTGTTGCACCTGATATCTGTTGGTGGTGGTGTGGTGATGCCGCTCGTGGCATCTGCTTTCTGACCATGGCCATCTGTGGGCCCCTGTGGCCCCGTGCAGTGACGTGCCTCTTTACGGCTCCCCGGGATGACAATCAGAAGAATCTACAGTGTTTGCGTGCTCACCGCTGGTCGGCTTGGCTCCAGGCCGCTGCATCACCATCACCGCCCCGTGTAGCCCAGAATGCCTGTTGGGTTGCTTTGCTTCCGTTCGGTTTTTCACTCGGGTGTTTCGGAGCATTTCGGTTCTGACCGTTGCAGTGCGATACCGCACATACACACACAGTACTTTCCACTTCGTACACGCAGGTAATCTGCTCTCAGCCCGTTCAGTGGGATGGCAGCCGAGAGAGCTTGCTGGACCGTGTGCTTGGTGACGCTGCTTCTCCACAGCGTTCCCACCGCCACTTCTTTCATGCTGGGGGTGAACACCAGCACTCATGAGACCGAATGGCAAGAACCACCTCTCCGCACGGAGGCTCAACGATCTGCGTGCGCGGCCTACGCTGGGGAGTACGAAGTCTGGTACCAGGGGGCGCAGCGCAGTACGAATCTGATAATCTATTGCGACTGCACCGCGACCCAGCCTGGAAATTTCACGGACAGCCTTCGTTTTACCAGTGTCTCGTCCCAGTGCCTTGGCCTCGGTGCTTCTCAGTTCTATATCTTGAAGACGCACGGGTCCAGCAAGTACGAGTGTCTGTACCAGAGCGGCACCACAATCGCAGGCTATCCAGCTGCCTGCGGCAACTCCCGCCCCCGTGCCACACCATCATTGTCGGCGGCGGTTTTTGGAGGGGGAACGGGAGGCCGTAACATGTGAAGTTTCGTGCCCAGAGGCTTCGCAGAGCCGCAACATGCGATGCACGCTTCTCCGTCGTGTTGGTGATGATTGTGATGATGGCGACGACGACGACGACGACGACGACGATGATGATGATGATGATGATGATGATGACGACAATGATGATGGTGATGACGCTGATGACGATGCTGATGATGATGATGATGATGATGATGATTGTGGTGGTGGTGATGATGATGATACTGATGATGCTGATGATGATGATGATGATGATGGTGGTGGTGGTGGCGGTGACGATGACGATGACGATAGGAATCCGCATGGGAGATTGGTCCGCAGTCGTCGTCGGCGTCGTCGTCGTCGCTCGTCGCTCGTTGCTTGTCGCTCGTCGCTCATCGTCGTCGTGCGCGCGGACGCGGCTGGAGTCTGTTGTTTCCCACCAACCTGTGTTGTTGGGTCCTCGTTTTGAAGACACGGTCCTCGCGTCTCCTCATCCTTTTCCTCCCCGTCCCCTCCTCTCATCATCATCATCATCATCATCATCATCATCATCATCATCATCATCATCATCATCATCACCACCACCACCACCACCACCATCATCATCATCATCATCATCATCATATCATATCATATCATATCATATCATCATCATCATCATCATCATCATCATCATCATATTCATCATCATCTTCGTCATCGTCATCGTCATCGTCATCGTCATCATCGTCGTCACACGTCTCGTGGCCCCATAGGAGCTCCGCCGAAGGTCCCAGTGGCACAGTTCGCATGCGTCCCCGCCACTCATGTCGGCACACCCCTCACACGTCTCGTGGGCCCATAGGAGCTCCGCCGAAGGTCCCAGTGGCACAGTTCGCATGCGCCCCCGCCACTCATTTCGGCACACCCCTCACACGTTTCGTGGGCCCATAGGAGCTCCGCCGAAGGTCCCCGTGGCACAGTTCGCACGCGGCCCCGCCATTCATTTCGGCACACCCCTCACACGTTTCGTGGCCCCATCGGATTTCCGCCGAAGGTCCCAGTGGCACAGTTCGCATGCGCCCCCGCCACTCATGTCAGCACACCCCTCACACGTTTCGTGGGCCCATAAAAGCTCCGCCGAAGGTCCCAGTGGCACAGTTCGCACGCGTTCCCGCCATCCATGTCGGCTCACACGTTTCGTTGCCCCTTAGGAGCTCCGCCGAAGGCACCCGTGGCACAGTTCGCATGCGTCCCCGCCACTCATGTCGGCATGATGGCACAACCCTCCACGTTTCGTGGGCCCATAGGAGCTCCGCCGAAGGTCCCAGTGGCACAGTTCGCATGCGTCCCCGCCACTCATTTCGGCACACCCCTCAAACGTTCCGTGGCCCCATAGGAGCTCCGCCGAAGGTCCCAGTGGCACAGTTCGCACGCGTCCCCGCCACTTATTTCGGCACCCCCTCACACGTTCCGTGGCCCCATAGGAGCTCCACCGAAGGCCCCAGTGGCACACAGTTCGCATGCGTCCCCGCCACTCATGTCGGCACCCCCCCACACGCTTCGTGGCCCCATAGGAGCTCCGCCGAAGGTCCCAGTGGCACAGTTCGCATGCGTCCCCGCCGCTCATTTCGGCCCACCCCGCACACGTTTCGTGGCCCCATGGGAGTTCCGCCGAAGGTCCCAGGCACAGTTCGCATGCGTCCCCGCCACTCATTTCGGCACACCCCTCACACGCTTCGTGGCCCCATAGGAGCTCCACCGAAGGTCCCAGTGGCACAGTTCGCGCGCGTCCCCGCCACTCATTTCGGCACACCCCTCACACGTGTCGTGGCCCCATGGGAGTTCCGCCGAAGGCCCCAGTGGCACAGTTCGCGTGCGTCCCCGCCACTCATTTCGGCACACCCCTCACACGTTTCGTGGCCCCATAGAAGCTCCGCCGAAAGGTCCCATTGGCGGGTCCCATTGGCACAGTTAGCATGCGTCCCCGCCAATCATGTCGGCACACCCCTCACACGTTTCGTGGCCCCATAGGAGCTCCGCCGAAGGTCCCAGTGGCACAGTTCGCATGCGTCCCCGCCACTCATTTCGGCACACCCCTCAAACGTTTCGTTGCCCCATAGGAGCTTCGCCGAAGGTCCCAGTGGCACAGTTCGCGTGCGTCCCCGCCACTCATTTCGGCACACCCCTCACACGTTCCGTGGCCCCATAGGAGCTCCGCCGAAGTCCCTAGGCACAGTTCGCATGCGTCCCCGCCACTCATTTCGGCACACCCATCACACGTGTCGTGGCCCCATAGGAGCTCCGCCGAAGGTCCCAGTGGCACAGTTCGCATGCGTCCCCGCCACTATTTCGGCACACCCCTCACACGTTTCGTGGCCCCATAGGAGCTCTGCCGAAGGTCCCAGTGGCACAATTCGCATGCGCCCCCGCCACCCATTTCGACACACCCCTCACACGCTTCGTGGCCCCATAGGAAGCCCCGCCGAAGGTCCCCGTGGCGCAGTCCGCATTGTGTTGTTCGTTTTCGTTCGCGATGTGTACCACGCCACCCATTTCGGCACACAGGGATCACCACCGAAAAAGTGAATCCAAATTGCGGTATTCACACCTGCATATGGTTGGGTCCTTCGTCAGGCTATTTGTCTTATTCTGGGCCGATGGCGGCAATCATGTGTGTGAGGGGGTGGAGGGGGCCGCTGACGTCACGTTTCGCGCCGGCGGCGTCTGGGAATGTCTTGGAATGACCGCGGACGGGTAGCAGCAACATCTAGGTTGCGATCTGCACCACAGCGCCGGTGTACACCACAGCGAATGTGTACACGCATCAGCAGTGCAATACAGCACCAGTGTACACCACAATGCCTCCGTGCACTACACCGCTTGTGTACACCACGGCGCCTGTGTGCACCGCACCGACCGTGTGCAACACAGCACCACTGTTACATATATAATGTTAGAAGGAATCCTTATCATATTATGGAGCGCCTGTGGATTCCACAGGAAGGAAGTGTGTGGCTCAAGGGCCCCGCGGGCGCCCGCGGGCGCCCGCGCGTCTGGGGCGGCGGCTGCGCCCCCCCGGCGGCGCGCGCCATGGCCGGGCGCGGCGACGGCGGCCGCCCGCGGGCGCGCCGCCGCCCCGGCGTGGCGGCGGCGGGCCTGCTCGCCTCGGCCGCAGGCCGGCTGGCCTTCCTGCCCATCCTGCAGCCCGCCGCGCGGGGCGCAGGGCGCAGGCCGCAGCTGCTGGGCGCCGCGCTGCTGCCAGCCACCATCGCGGGAGCTGGCTTCGCGGGCGCCTCTGGCGCGGTGGAGGTGTTGATGAACGACGGGAGCGGAGTCCACGGCCAGCGGGACGTTATGGCGGCCTCCCGCTTGCTGATCTGGATGCGCGGCGCCGTGGCGGAGGGGGCGATGAACGGCCTGGCCCCCGAGACCGAGTGGGTCGTCTTGCTCGGCGACGACGTGTTCGTGAACCTCGCGCGCCTCTTCTACTTTGTCGTGCAGCACCCCGCGCGCGAGCACCCGTTGGTCTTCGGCCACTGCCTGTCCGACACCGAGGCGTACGACTTCGACGCGCCGTGCCTCGACGGCGGGGCCGTCCTGCTCAACCGGCTCGCCCTCGACGCGATCGGCGAGGTGGCGTCGTGCAGGGAGTGGCCCCACGTCGTGTCCGACCAGGTGTCCCTGGGCTACTACGCCTTCGTCAACGCCGTGCCGCTCGTCCACCTGCCCGCGCTGCACTGCCACACACCGCGCATGGGCGACCCCGACCGGCACCTCGTCAGGGAGTACCCGCCCGACTCGCTGACGACAGACATTATCGACACCGGCGGGAGGCCGCATCCGTGTGTGAACGTGGAGGGGGACGTGAGGCTTGTGAACGCAATGAGCGGCACGCCCCTCGCGCCTTTTGCTCTCTCCGCCTCCTGCCCCGCCCCTCCCTCCGCCTCCCCGCCCGCACATGCCTCTGTGCGCGGCGCGGGGCAGCCACCTGAGCCCAGTAGTTCGATCCTCGATTTTTGCAGTTTTGTTCAGAGCGAGGTGCATGAAGACAATTGTTTAGCTCCCTGCTCTTACCCGCGCCCGTGGCCCTCCTTCTCCTCCTGTTCGTCGTCCTCCCTCCTTCTCTTCGCTGCTTACCCTCCCCGGCCTTGGCGCGCGCCGCGCGAAATTTTCGACGTGGCCCCGAATTCGGAGATTTCGGAGGCGGACGTGGTAATGTCACGGCGCCCTCGATCAACTTGCACGCCTCCCGAATGCGCTGACCAGGCTCCCGCTTCCTCCCGCCCTCCATTGCCCAATGCTTCTGCTTGCTCACACCCCCGCCCGCCCCCACGATCCCAAACATCCACTCGATCGCGACAGTCAGACAATCGTCTCCCAACCCAGCACCCCAGCCCGACGCCCTTACCCAGCCCGACGCCCAGCCCGACGCCCTGCCACAACACGACGCCCTACTCCAGCCCGACGCCCTTCCCGACGCCCCACCCGACGCCCTACCTCAGCCCGACGCCCTGCCCGACGCCCTGCCCAAACACGACGCCCTGCCCGACGATTTACCTCAGCACGACGCCGTACCCGACGCTCCCCATACCGACGCCCCACCCGATGCCCAATTCCAGCCGGACGCCCTATCCGAAGCCGTGTCCCAGCACGACGCCTTACCCGACGACTTACCCCAACACGACGCCCTACGGAGCGCCGTACACCAGCATGGCGCCCCACTCCCGCCCGGCGCCCTATCTGACGCCCCACCCCAGCCCGACGCCCTACCCGGCGCCCCACCCAGACTGGCTGGACTTCTCGCCCTGCGGCCGCCAGACCGCCAGCCCCTGCCCGAGCTGGACGACTTCGTGGACACAGGGATTCGAAACTCAAAAGGGGGTTGCTGGCTCGCCTCCCCGTGCTACCCCGGGACCCTTTGGCCTGGAGCAGGACTCAGACGGCTCATTCCGGGGTAACTCCACCATGCTGTGGGGGTCAGGATTCCCAGGGCCTGTTTGCCCCCAAACCCCCAACCCCCTCGGCGGATTTCCCTGGGGGGCCACTCCCACTCCGACGTCGTCGTCCTCCTCCCCCTCCTCCTCCTCCTCCT